TGCTTGTCCAAGAACTGAGGGCCTTTTGAGGCCATAGTAAAGATCAGTTATGAGGTCAACACGCCAGCAGTTGATTTTGATGGAGGCGGTGGAGGCGTCTCTCCTGCAAGATGATCATCATACCTGATCCCACCACCCAAGATAAAGCCAGAGGAATAAAAAAACTTCTGTCAGTCATCATTTCTACTCATAATAGGACTTTGTGATGCCAGATGTTGGATAACTCCCAAACAGGCTGGATGCGAAAGCGAAATATCTCTTACTTCCCCCTCTTGTTTGTTTCATGTGAGCAAAAAAATAAAGTGTTCTTATTTTTCTGTGTTGCTATGCTGAATGGAATTTGTTCAAACCCATCCCTCACGCATGATGAAATACACTTTCTTTCCACTGATCTTACTGATTGCCTCACCCGTCATGGATGTTTCTCAAGCAGATGTTCTGCCACATCTTCGAGCTGTATTGGTGAGAACGATCTCAGCCGTAACCTTGGGTTTGGCTTTAACAGGTGATCCAGCCTCAGTGAGTCCACTTGCCTCGTCTGCCATCCACCACACACGCGCATAGTAAGGCAGTCCATTGTGACTGAGGCGGTAGTGGTGATACGTGCAAGGTTGTGCGAATAGTGAGTGGAGAAGTTGGAGCCAGCCAACCAATAAGGTGTTTGTTTGGTGGTTCGCTGTCTCAGCAAACATTTCCCTCTGTCTGGCTATCTGTCTGCCTGCTTGTCTGTCTGTCAATCAGCCCCCAAATAGGCCTTCCTCAAAGACGCCAACCTTCACAACTTACGTGAAAGGCGTGAAGAATTAACAGCTAATTGTCTGGCCAAGCAGTCATAGGTGCCTGCCTGTCGATCATCTGTGGTATAGATACATGCGACGGAACCCACTTACTTGGTGACATGCAAAATTGGCTCTTCCTCCACAAATTAACGAAAAATGTAAGCTAACTTTTGGCTCTGTCACTTCACTCACATCAGTCATTAGCTTACAGGTAGGAGTTCTGGACATCTTCGCCCGGAAGGCCTCTTTGTTCCGTTTATCAGTAAACAGAGAGCGTGATACATTTACGCCGTTACTTCGTCTTGCTGCCGCAGTCTCTCCAGATGGCTACAGGACAAATGAGAAGTGGACCGGTTTCCGTTGTTCCTATTCTTTCCTTCTGTCACTGACACTTCAGGTTCGAATTCAAATAGGCTCATCACTCTTCAAGTACTTTCCCGAAAAGTCGCAATTGACACATTTGGAGAGACCGCAAAAAATGAACGTTCTTTTTAACCATCGCTAGATCCTTTGAAGTCTGAGAGCAAGAGAGGAAGAGGAAAGGAGCCCTTTATCACCAACAGGAATACTTTCTTCATACAAGAGTAGAAACTGAAGTCCTTCCTTACAGACCTAAAGCTAGCGTTGTCATTTAGCTGATGTGGTCTCCACTAGGTCCAAACAAGAATCGCTTCAATAACTGCAGAGGTCGACTGCAAAATGGCTGAAATGAGAGCTTGCCGTCAAGTGGCTGAAGTGGGTCAGGATAGCCAAGGCAATCCAACCATCAACTGAACAAGTAGTGCTATTCAAACCCCAGAAGCAATTGAAGCTTAGCCTCCACACCTTCTTCCATCTGGCTTTACCTTTGTCTTTCCAGAGGAGTACCACTTTCTGGAACTTGGTTTCAAAAAAGTTTACCTACTTTAATCCAGATGGTAGAGGTGGACCTTATGATGGGCTGCAAGACCTCTAAGCAGTCCAACAACGGAAAAAAGAGGAGGAAGGTTGATTGATGTTGCCCTCTCCCAAACCTTTATATTCCTCTCATTCATACCTTTCCAGGTGATTTTGACCTCTTCTTGATAGTGAAGCTAGGAATAAGGGAATTAACAGTTGGGCATCAGGGTCGGATTCTTCTTGGTTTCTATGAGCCAAACTTTTATCCGAATCGAACCAGTAGCAGCCTCGTATCCTGTCAGATGAGAGGGGATTGATAGGTTGTGGCGGTGGTTAATCCAACGAATTGAATTCTTTTTTGATGACAAAGATGGGTAAAGTTAAACCCTCCAGTTCATCAAACACTGGAGACGAAGTCAAAACAAGCCTAAGGAAATTCGAGGGATATTTTCCATGCCAACACATCTGAACGTTAGTCTGTCCCAATGACCAGCCAATAGGACTACAGCTGAACACCACCTCAAACAACGTTATCACACCTGAGAAATCATGACATCCAATGACCTTAGCATGGAATTTGATCCAACCACAGAATAATTCAAATACAATTCTATTCAGATGCAAGATGCCCTTGATTCAAGGATCCTCACCTGCCTGTAACATGATTTGAGGGCTAATGTAAAATGTGGCAGTAGGTTTCCTTCCAAGACCCAGCACTGTACACCGTCAGGTCGGAAGGACGGCTTGCTCGACCTTTGCCAAGGATGTTTTCTCCGTAGATAAAGAAAAAAGGAAAAGAAAAAGTTGTTCTGCTTCAACACAAGTCGTCAAAATGATACCTTATTAATTGCGAACATCTACAACACCCAAACGACCTGATTCCCGTAGTCCTGACCTCACATCTACGCAAGCCTCTTCAAGTGCGTCTCTAGAACCTCAGAAACCAATCACTGACTAGGACAGGGGGTGGGTCAACGCTAGACTTTATAGTTACACTCATTAGTGGCCTTTGAGCTCCTCCAAATGTTACGACGAGCTGGAGGTGAGAGAGGAAGCTTCAAGAAGGTCTCCATTGTGGAGAATCAAATGGATGGAAATTTGCGGCGGCTGCAGGAGAACATTCTAGAAGAAATAAGAAATAGATCTGCTTTTCCCCTTCGTAAGGTGGCCAAAGACACTCAACGACAACAGTTGTCTTCAGGTGAATAGATTAACAGCTTCAATCTTTTAAAATATTTTAAAATATCCCGAAGCTAAGGAGAATTTCACTTAAGAGTTGATCTTAGGCAAGAGGTTGCCACCCTTTCCATAAAATGGACTAAATGGTTAAGAATGATAGAATACTTCGTTCACGTTTGAATTGATTATTGTTTGCTTCTTTTTTGAAATGCCGTTTCGAAGATCCAATCCACTCACGACAACGCTATCCATCAGGAGGACCGCCGATGAACCCCCAGCATCGCCATTCTTCACTCATCCGAACAAACTCCCTCTTCGAAGAGCCTCAGATCAGTTTGAGTGACTCCAATTCATTCCCCCTTCCATCGCCTCCTCTGCCTTCTCCACCACCTCAGGACCTTTTACCTAGTCATGTTCAACCTGTCCTCGATCAATCCAATTACCCTAAAACCTCGGAGAGGACTGGCCAGTCATATTCAAGCCTCAAAAATATCGTCCGCTTCCACGAAAACAGTCTAGAACAGGGTAACCAGGAGCAGTCTGTGTACAGACCACCCAACCTACGGTGTCATGCTCCCGCCAGAGGGATCATATTACGATCCCAGAGTATGTTGCACCCCTGTCTACCAATCAAAACTCCTTGTGATCCAGAAGAAGGTGCTGACATCACCAATAGGCCACCTTCTCCACCACTGAAATACAGCCCTACTGAGGGCAACTTTAGGTCCAGCTTCGTTCGACAGCCTAGTTTAGTAATCCCTAAGAAGGGATCTGCACATGACATCTCTCCTCCCGGTAGTGATGTTGATGAAGCCATTAGTAAAGCGGAAAATCGAAGAAAGCAAGTGGAAATGAGATCCATGACACTGCAACGAATTCGAAAGCCCTCTGGAGGACGACTGATCAATCTACAGGATCCACCCTCACCCCTGACCTACTTTCGTCCATATCCTCAACCATCAGTAGTGAAGTACTGTGTCACATCTAATCAACAAGTGGAGGAGGGAAGAAATAATAAGAATGAGGAGGTTTCACGTCCTCCACAGATTCGAGAACCACCCAAAATTCTTGCCACACGTGGAGTAACACCCTTTCGACGACTATCACGAATTTCTGCTTCATCATCGTCTTCCACTTCTCCTGATGCTGCCGTTCCAGCAGATGGTTCTTCGTCAATTGATGAAGATGGGCCAGGTGGCCAGCGTGGAAAGTGGGTATTTCCAACGCGTAGAAGCATCTATGCTGAGGGAGGCCAGCAAGCACAACATGAATTGCGAAATAGTCAACGCAAAAGGGAGACATCTGCAATGCCAGACAGTGAGAAGAAGCCGCCGCATCATTACACCGGTCCAGGAATGTTCAGAGGTCTTTCGCCTAGATTGCCGGCACAACTGGAGCGCCCACGTAAGTTATTTCTGTCTTATCGATGCGAACATGAGGTCATGGGTCATCTTTGGGGCGGTACGTGGTGTGAGGTGTGTAGTCTTGCTTTTTCTTACACGAATGACACTTTCTTCACACCCATTGATTCACCAATAATGGTCGTTGTCAAAGGAGACATTCTGGCACATCTTTGAGTCGCATTAATGAGGTAGATCTCAGACGTAACTTATGTTTGGCCTTCAGCAGGTGATCAGATTCCAATGAGTCCACCACATTCACAGCAAGTGTACTCCGTTGGGAGTGAGGTGCCGATACATGCCTTGGAAGTGTGTCGTTGTGTGTGGTGGCAGTGGGAGGTAGTGTAGGATAGTGCGAACAGTGAGTGGATCGTTTGGATTCAAGCAACTAATGAGATGCTTGTTCGTTCGCTCAATGAAGACTCCCATCTGTTTGTCGATGAACGCGCGAAGAGAAAACGAATCTCGGTGGGATAGGCAAGGCCCAAAAATTGTAGAAGGGAGGTGGTGAGGAGAAAGGTGGATGGCTCAATGGTAGATACATCACGTTCAGGGGGATCTTACATTATCCAAAGGGCAGGACTAGCAGTCACGTGTCAAGGAGAACTTCAGCAGTACTTCTTATGGTGATCGAGAAAACAACTTGTGGGCATCCACATTAACTGGAAAAGTGGTGGAAGTAACAGAGCAAATGTCCCCTATATGCCACACTTGGAACACTCCCAAATGCCTTCTTCCTCACTTCCTGCTCCTATGTCAAATTGTTCAGCGTCTACTCCGCATGGAGAAACTGATTTTGTGTGTCCCTGTCGGGCGGCTAAACACATCGTAGCCTGTCCTCATACCACCCACTTACTGAGTGAACTACACTGACCTATATCCCCCGACGTCCATGCAGTGGTCGATTGGACTTCATGGGTATAATAGGATGCAACAGAAACATTGAGGATTAGTGAACCATGGAGGATGCAAAGGAAGAGGGAAGGAGGAAAAGCCTCTGTACTTCAGCGCCTATATTTCCCGAAGTAAATATCATCCTCTCTTTAGCCACTGGACAGTCACAGGGTTCTGTATGAAGCAGAAGTGACATTTGGGGGGAATGTAAGTGGTGTGGAAAGGGATATGCCGATGACGACGACGAGGTTCTGTGGTATCAGCACCAAAAGGTTTTTGAGAAAGCGAAATGGGAGTGGATGGGTAGCAGGCTTTTTCCTCAAATGGAAAGGAATTGCTACATCGTAACGGTGAACGGTTCTGCGAAGATGAAAAGCCTGTAGCAGTGGATGACCTGGTTACCTCGTGGTGTCGTCTCTGTGACGCTAGCTGAAAACAGCGGATTCTGCTCTGATGGCCTTGGTGGCGTTGGTGGTCTTTTCAGTCATTACAGAGTCAGTCAAGCTTGTTTAACCATAAGGTCTCGGTTGTGCCAACGGCATGATTATCATTAGCCACTGGAAGAGGTGAAGTGTAGTGACGTAACATGAACGTAAAGCAGTGAAAGATCAAGATGAGAGGTCAACAAGTGTCAGTAAATGGCCTTGTTACGGTGGTTCGTACACGTACACAGGGACTGTGAGTCGTCGTGATCTGGGTAAGTAAATGGGATGGTGGTGGTGCGAAAGGAGAAGGGATGAGAGAGGGTGTAAGGTGGGGAGAGGGGATGTGATGAGGCGCTACAGCTTACCCAGATGTTCCCACTGCCACGGCATAATAGTTCAAGAAACGTCGCAGTGTGTTTCTATACCGTTCCGGCACTTACACAAAATACGGCATCTGGAGACATGGTCAACTTGCTTTTGGATGGGAAGATTTTACAGGGCCTCGCTTTCAGTTAAGAGTGTAGCCAACGGGACGTCACTCATCTCAACTCACGTCGCTTCACGTCACCTAATATTCTCACTTCCTCAGTGATGTTACTTGCCTGCCTTCGTACCAAATGCTCACCGCTATTAGGAGAATAACGTTGTGAGGAGGTGAGCAACCACTGGAGTGATATACCACCAATATCATCTTAGATCATGGGTGAGTGTAACCAGCCACTCCAGGTGACTGAATATGGACCAGGTAGCTGCCTAATGCCTCGTCAACAAACATCCGCCGACCAGTGCTTTCCGATGCACAGCTGACCGTGGACTCCTTCTGTTGTGGCAGTGCCTGTCCTTAGAGGCAAGCGGAAGTTGCCTCCACAGCATCGACCTCGACTCGAAATTGTCTCGGTTGGGGTGATTTTCGCCATGAATTGAATCTGTGTCTGGCGTGTCCTGCATTCGTCAGATTAAAACGGTCGGCCGGTAGTAATAATGAGAATCTCCATGCCTCCGTGATTGGCTACTGGTTGTGTGGATGGCAGCTTGTGCCACCCGCGCTACTTGTCACCCTGTCCTAGAGGGACCTCTCGGTGCCCTGCTGTTTGACACAAGGTGCGTTAACTTAAGTAGCTCTCTCCATCCCACAGTGGTAACTTTCATGATAAAGTACAAAAAGGAGTGGATTAGCAGATGTTTCTGGTCATATAGCACACATGGAACATATTAATTAATACTTCGCCTTCTCCCCTACTCCCCTCCTTTCATTTTGCCCTCCCATCCTCCTCCACCCTCTCGTTTTCCGATGATAATGTAAAAATGGGTAAACCTTACACGCACGAAGCGTACTTTTGCTGGCAGCTTGCCCAGTTACAAAGAATTGGAGGGTTGAAACAAGTAGATGTTACAGACGTTAAGAGGACCATTTAATTTATGGTGCGTCACAAAGTCAGGGAGTTCTCAAATGCCGTTTGACAGGAGTTGTCATCCCCTCCTTCCCATGCAGTTCAGCTGACCTCTTGAATGACTGCCTCGCTTAGCTGGTGTTGATTGGCGTGAGGATTATGCTTGAGGTCCGCTGTATTTGACCGTGGTACGGTGACATTCACTTTGAGTAAAGGAGATGAAACGCCTCAGCTATTGACTGCAGTATCCACAGGATTGGGGACTGTGACCCAAAGTACTCACACTGCCAAGTCAAATTTTGGACTGGGTTAGACTTTTGCTGTCCACTGCGGTACACACATGTGTGTATCAAAGAGAGTGCTTCACATCTGTGCTGTTTCGTTTCCCTTCAACTACCACTTAGTGGCTGATTGGTGCGTTGTTTATCCCAACTTTCATTTGATTGGTTGGTTGTTTTATGGGGCATAACGAATAATTCTAAAGCTGGCGTCGATTCATTTTAGTAAATGGAAAAACTTTCTTGAAATTTTGAGACAATAAATTGGGAACTCAAATGGTAAGCAGCCATGACCATATATTTATCCAGATGTTGCCTCAAGACATTTTTATTACGCCATGCAGCTGCAGCGACTTTAGTGACAGTGGTTTTTTATTATTATTGGGTGCTTCTGGGTCGGCTTTTCGGGGTCGTTCTCTTGTGAATGGCTGAGTAGTTGACTCAGAAAGCGGTTGAGTTAGTAAATTAGTCGATGACCGATTAAAAGGATAGATGGATGACCTAATAAATGAGTGGCTAATCAGCTACCTGCTCCGTGGATAGCCAAAAAATCTGCCTATAAAAGAGACCTGCTGATCAACTTCTTCATTTTATGTCAATTTCAGGTGAACGGCGATCTTCTTTTACCAACTCGACAAGGTCATTCTTCTGTCCCCTCACCAACCAAATGGAATCCACAAAACCCTCCACCAAAGTTGACCGCATGGTCTCTCCCATTCCTTCACCCCTTCCATCACAACCATCAGTCTCCGTCTACGGCACCATGGATCGATCCTCCCGCACTCGCAATCGTAGCGGAACCTTCAACCCCTCCCAGAACGACTACGACAACGGAGGCTTCAGTACCTGGAGGTCATCTCAATTTTACCCAGGAGTAACAGCAGGCAACACTGGAGTACAAAGTGAGCGAGTGACGGATCTGGGTGCGAGCCGAATCTCATTGTGGAGCCAGAAGACATCTGTAGAGCAACCAGAGCCTCAACGATTTGGCAGTCTTGGCAGGCATGATGATCGGCTTATTCGAAAGTACCTTCAACGGCATTCATCAATGGGGTCAAGGGCATTTCTGCCGGAGACTGGAGGAGGACATAGTTTTTTGCAATATAGCCAGCGATAGATGTGTTTAGAGTCATTCCTCCCCCTCTTTATTTCTGATTGTAAATAAATTGAGTGATTTTCTTTTGACCAATTTGAACTAGGAATAGCTTGGCTCAGTCATTTGGGGTTACAAAAACACTTGAAGATGGTCTTTTGGCGGACGACAAAAACGGTGCAATAAGAGGGTGATAGGTAACCAGAAAATTGTCCTGATGTAACCTGTCGAGGTTGGTTTGAAAGCACAGGTACGGTGACCTTCGTTACGCTCTGCCATACCTTCCCTTTCGGGTTATTCGAGCTTATCCACCTTACCAAAAGAGGTTAACGCATTCTCTTGTGTAAATGTAATTAAAATGAATAATTTTTCTCGGAATTCAATCTATACAACACAAGCATGAGGTACGAGATTTCTATATGGTAAACCACGCAAATCAACCTCAGACAAGTGCTGGATCTACAACCTTTTCTTGACCTCGTAAATTTTTAATGTGCCTAACGATCGTTTTTTCTTCGCCAGAGAAAAAAGACTTTAGAAATGGCCATCTCTGCTTCTACCTCATCCCTGCCTCCCAGCTGTCCACAACATTTCCAGTGTGTTCGTGTGATTGGCTAATGTCAGGAAAGGTTGCAGCCACTTTTCATGGGTAAATTTTGAACAGGACGTTCAACTGCTTGATCCAAAAATCCAAGCTGTTTCTAAGGTAATTGTTTTCCCGTAGTCTGGTTTAGATGATATTTTATGACCCTTTAAAAGAAGGTGAGATGGAAGGGGGCCTAATGAAGGGTACCGCGTCGATATTAATCTAGGCACACAAACAATGGCCTGCACTTTACAGGTCATCACATGCTATAACAAGTCATTGTAGCAAAATAAACCACACAGAATCTGAACTTTTTCAGCCCCTGGCGCTTTACTTTCAAATTATTTGGGATTCAATCGTATCTACTAACCCACTAGTCGAGATAAATCAATTCGAATTCCCCAAGGTCTTGGCTGTAGCATATTATTTTGACAGCGACATTTTGGAATTACTACCTGATTTTGGGACTCGTAACTGTAATTCTGGTACGTTTTCAGTAGATACTAACAGTTACTAGCCATTAACTCAAGGCGACATAGCTCTGGCACTTTTCCTAGCATTTGCCAAATGTCAAAGCTACCGAATTATAATCGAAGTTAGAAGTACCGGGGTGTTCTTGATTGGGAATTTAAATATGCATGGTGATGTGCGACTAGCTTGAATCGGAAATATTTTGGTGATTTCAAATTTAACTTTACCCGCATTTGCGAATTCCCCAATTTATCCCACTTTATTCCAATTCATTTACCGGTTTTTATGCTGACATGTAACAAAGGACTGCTCCATTGGTACTCAAATCCAGACTGGCTCGGCAGATTGAGGGTCAACTTCCATTCATTCCCAAGATATTTAATTTATTTCAACAAGTACAGAGCAAAATAGCTCAATATGACATTGCAGTCAGTATATTCTTCCCCCAAATTTTGCCTGAAGTAATAGTGAATCATGAGAGTTCCACTTAAGTAGATTTTGTACTAGACTTTTGTATTCCAAATCTTGTGTATTTCAGGAGTCCGGTGAGCAGTGATAGCTGCTGGTTTGGGTAAGCAATTGGCGTAAAAAAGTTCCTCAGAAGTTATTCCTTTCTTATTTCACCTTAATTTAATAATTTGTTATATTCTGATTTCTAGCAAAAGTATTTTTATAAAAGTTGTGGCAGCTGGAGTTAGGTAACACGCCCTAAAAAACAGACTGTTTTATTAGTAAAAGTTTTATCTGCGGATTTAAACAGTCGTTTGACATTGTTTTTGTTATTTTGTCAAATGGGCCTATGTTACTTTAGTTCTCTATTCAAAACAGCGTATCTTCAAAATAGAGCTCCCAACTCCCAGCAGCCAATGAAATGGCTCTTGCGCATAAGCTGACGAGCTTCAACAAGTCTGTCCTACGTAGAGCCTTGATATCCTTTTCTACATCGCACTCACTTCGCCAGGATTCCTCCCAGGAATCGCCTAAGAAGCTTGTTCCTAAGTTTTCTGCTGATACTCCACCACCGGTTTCTATCAAAACAAAAGGTTCTACTTTCTCTACGTTTGTATAAATTGTTGTAGTCAAACAAAGTGCTAGTGATGCATGGTACTCCACCGTCATTGTTGGTGGTATAGCACTCACAGGTTGGTCTATTTAAGCCGATCTCATCATCTTTTCCTTCAGGCTTCATTTTCTACGTTATTGTGCATGAACTCTTTTCCACTAAAAGTCCCACTCGTGTTTATGAGGAGGCCTTGGCAATTTGTATCAGCGATACTCGCGTTCGCGACTTGTTAGGTGAGCCAATCACTGGCTGTGGGGAATCCACTCGTCGCGGTAGACGAACTCAAATTGCGTAAGTTCAATCTTTTAAGTGTTTTCATCATTTGTTTTCTATGGGGATTTGTGATTTTGCTCTTAAATAGATCTTCAGAGTGGTTTGACAGTAACGGAAAGAAGCACATGGCTTTGCGCTTCTACTTGAAGGGTGCCTATGCCTCCGGCACTGTTCACCTTGAAGTTTACGAGGTTGGTCGTTTCCAAAGTTTCGCTTTTTCTGCCTTCTAATTGTACAAAAGATTTGCGCCATTTAATCAGGTTATTTTTTGATTTCTTTGTGCTTTCTTTCATGTGAAATGCTCCATTAGCTTTAGTGATAACTGGTAGACATACTCGCCTCTGATTACTTTCGCACTACAAAGTAATGAGGAAACACTATCATCAGTAGCAAGTACATATAAATGTGCACCATCGTTCTCTTTTTTTCATTGGCTGACACATCTAGACGGATTCCAAAGAACTAGTCTACCGATATCTGGTCGTGGAGGTAGACGGCTTGTCAAGGCGCCAAGTGATTCTACGACCTGAGGCAGATACTCCAGCTACCTCCCCTGCTGTTCCACCGCCCCCACCACCCCCACCTACTCTTGCACCCTTTGGAGAAGAATCTAGCGAAAAGTAGATATGATTTTGGGATTATTATCATTGTTAGTCGAATATTGATAGGGAATGAGTGCCATAATAATACCCGGAAAGCTGTTGTTTATTAGCAAAACTTTTATTTATGGAAATAAAGAAGATTGTACCATTAGTGATACGTTAAAAAATGATTTATTTTATTTTCGTTCCGTTTTGGCTTTTCCTTAGCTCATTTCTTTCTGCCCTGCAAATCATACCACCAGTCGACAGCATTCATAGGTTGGGTTATGTCCTGACGATTGTGATTTCTCCATTCTTTTGGTAATGCATACTATTATTTTGTAAAAATCGAGAAATGCAGGTCTGCGGGTGCTAATATAACTCCGGGTTTGGCCTATGATGCTCAATGTGTGTAACAGTCTAACCTGGCATATTGTTCCTAAATGACAAGAGTTTTTGAGTAAACCCAATCTCACTGCTACCAATGTAGTTTTTCAGTTACTTTTGAGGCCACTATCGGGCATGCGGTTTCAGTGTGAGTGTCCCAAAGGTCTGATGGATTCGTAGCACGGACGAAAAGGGCAGAGTGCCTTCTCACCAGATTTGGAATCGAAACTTGGTAGACTGAAAAGCTTGCTTAATCGGGGGTGTAAATGTAACGCCCTTTTTACTATTCGATTGAAATATTCCTTTCCAAATCCGACTTTTTATAATCAGAGCTTTAGTGGGAAAGATTATCTTTGTTGAGAGTGTTCGGTTCAACGGCTCTCTTCAACACCTATATACATAACCTCAGTGGCCTTTTCAGTCTGCTCTGGTCTAATATAGCTTCAGCACTGGTGGAATGGAGCTTCAACAGATTGTTAGCGAATTGAGTCCACTGTAATCTGCGAGATGCATAACAATCTTTGGAGTTCCAAGTCCTCGTATTTGATCTTTCCTTGTACCACGTAGCTCACTTAACTCTCCTCGAACGGGACTGTGGAGACCTCTTTAGCTTCCTCGGATCGACCTTTATGTTGGTGACTCGGCCAATGATGCTGATTTTTCAACTCTTCTGTATGTTGGGAAAAGTGGGTATTGCTTGAGCGGGAAAGTTCGTGCAATTTCCGGTTTAGCTATTCGTAATGACTTATGACCTACTTGTCAAGCAATATAAGGTACAGGCAGATGCACCTTCTATCGGTTTGCACGGTACGCTTTGCCCGCTCTCTGCTAATTCTTGCCTGCTTTGAACCCTCTTAGCATAAATTGGCAGCTGAATGAACCTCGTGGATGTGGTTCTAGCCTGTCCGAGACGCGAACCGGTCTTAACGTGGTAGCAGAGCTGGAAAAAAGGTATTCAAAGGAGGTGGGGTAGTAGAAGGGACCATCAGAAATCAAGGAATGAATCGTGTACGATTTGAAGGTGGATGCGTCACGTTCGGAAAGACCTTCAGTTCACCCACCTCAAGTCTTAAGTACTATCTGGAGAAACGGGCTTAGAAAAATTTGTTAGTAGACTATTCTAGAGTGTACTTTGCTTCACCTACATGGAAAGCTGTCTTGGCATTCATCTCAGTTCACCGTCGCACGGTGGCAGCCGGCGGACATGTCATAGATCAGTTCAGTTCAGTCGAAGTTAATCAAGCTGTCAGGCAACCATCTCACTGTGTCCGTGTGATGATGAAGGAAGGCATAGACTCCGTAGACATCTACTTGGATCGGAAAAAGCCTTCAAACACAATACAGTCCGATGCAGATGTTTCGAAGTCGGTCGTACATCTGTCCTGAGGGTTTAAATCCACAGTCTTGGCCGGTATTTCTACATATGTTATAACAGCACGTAAAACTTCTGATCCTGGAGAGCTGGTCGAAGTAAAATTTGTAATGAAAATATGCAAGAGGTGATTCTTTTTGTGAAAATACCGGCTGCACTCAATCTTTGGATGTCCTTGGCTGGTTCGGGTGTACTAAGCACCTCCCATTGCCAAACTTTTCAGATATTAATTAGACACTGGAATAGCAGGAACAAGCTAGATGTTGTTTTCCTTTTTTGAATCTTCTTAGTACTGTAATTGAAATTTTCGACCCTTATCCACTTCTGGGTCTACCTTGGAAGGAAAAAAGCGAGGAGGCTCAACAAGGCTTTTGCAAATAAATTGTCAAATCCACTAAATAAGCTTTGGTACTTTTCGGAGCATCTGACCACTTTGATATGTTTACCTGTCGTCGCAGAACAAACAACTCAATTTAAGGCGAGAAGCTTCCAAATGTCCTTAAATATGAGGGATTCCGGTAGCGGTTTTCAATAATGATGCCAGCGTGAGATCACTATAAATAACCGATGATCCGAATAAGCTCCATTAATGAGGTTTTGCGAAGGATGTTGGTGTAAATTGAAGCACATAATAAGGACATTTTACTTATATTTTCCTATTCATTCCCTATCGCAGGATACTTCTCCAGAGGCATATAATGCCTACTTATCTCATTTAAGTAGTAAATCACGTTGGCCTTGACGATCATCGATTGGTATCAGAAACCGCATTAATAGACTAGTAGTGTTAGGAATCAAACAATTTCGTGAAAGTCCCGTCTTTATAAACTAAAGGCTTAACAGTTATTTAGCCACCTGCTGCAGCCTCAAGTGAACAAGCATCAGTGATTTGCTTAACGCAATCAAAGATGATTGACGACTGTAATTGGGTTTCGGAACACTACCACGCCACTCAGTCATAAAACCACTCCGAACTTCACAGTCATTGGCTTCTTTTCGCAATGTGAATGAAGGTTATGTCTCGCAAATCTACTTTCCACACGCTAGGGTTGGAATTTTATGGACAGGCGCCTTTTATGCGCTCTTTAGGTTAGCAACTGTTACAACCCTTCTTGTCTGGCACAAGAAGCTTGCATTAACCATGCCTCAAGCGCCTCAAATGGTGTCTTCTAGTCATTTTTTTGGGGAAGGAGGGGGCTGAGCTTAAATTAAAGTTGTGTACAACTCTTTTATATTTTACTGATCTCAGATTACGTGACTTAGACCTCCTACTGGCGGTAAGAAGATCAAGAATCAACATTTGTTAACGCTTTTACCTTATGCAATTATTTAGGCAGGAATTTCTTCAAATTTGGTCTTGTTGCGCAATCTTTACTAGGCGGTGAGAAATTAATGTGCGAAAGTTTGCAAGACCCCAAACTAAAAAAAGTACCTTCTGTTCCCTATTTGACAACGTGGCACCAACAAACCAGTAAAATTGTAGATGTTTTTATATGCTCTTATACGGGGGAAGTGATTTATCAAAGTGCGACATCCAAACGGTGCGCTTTGTTTCCACTTGACAGGTGAGTCAGTTAGTCGGCTAGCCGGGCTGGCGCGTGCCTGGCATGAGCCACAAGCGGACCAATTGCGTGCCTCCTGTGGTGCTATTGGTTGAACGTCTGCCTTGTGCACCATGGCATCAATATAAACGCAAGCGCATGCTCTACGTGCATATTTTCTCTGCACGCGTTGCTCGTCTCTCACGTACGTACGCACGCACGCTCGTTTACACGCGCATATCAGCGCACTTGCCCTCCACATTACCTCAAGTGCAACAAGAAGAAGGCGTGGACTAGGCAATATGGCCGCTCCTGCAGCCAATTTAACTGCCAAATTTTGTCGTCAATTATTTCAGGATACCGCGCCGCGAGTTATGGTGCAACAAACGTTGGATCAAGTTATTCGTGCTGATCAGGAGCGTTTTCGTGCTAAATGGAATTTTGACGTGGCCAAGGGTTCTTCCACCACTTGGAAAATTGTACACGAACCGAAAGCTGCTTTCTACACTAAAATACCACGTAGACTGAAAGCACGTAGACGGTTAAATCAATCAGTGGTGGGGACACTTAGAGGTGAAATGCAGACACCGAATGAAGGCCTGCTTTCGGACTCCTCCTTGGTTGGAAACCTGATTTTCAATTTCTCGGGACAGCCAGTGGAAAAGAAGATGAGGAACACTCTCATCCCCTCCTGTGAACCCGATTCCCCTTCTGTAACAGTAACTCCAGCCCCTTGTGGATGTACCACCTCTCGTGTATCATCAGCACCAACCACTCTTCCTACCGCCGATCCTGTTTTCAAGTTACCCTCACCTATTTCTAAGCTGTTGAAACGGAAATCACATCCCAGGATGACTGGCAAGTGATGTTTCTAACTCCTACGTAGTTTATGCATATTCAGGGATAATCTTTCTCCTTTTTCGTTCCATTTTAGATTACTTCGCCGTTCACAAACGGGCCAAAGCATCGAAAAAATAGCACCGGTGAGTGGAGCGAATCAGAGAGACGTCCCTTTCCGTCTACATGGTCATAACAAATTAATCAGATGGATGTAGTCTCAATGATGGTGTTAGGTGTACATTCATCTGAACATGCGGGCACAATAATTCCTGTTGGACCACTGATTACGGCGCGTCACCTTTCCCCCTGCGTTTGTTGCCATGTCAATACTGCCATCTAATATTTGCGGTCAATTTGTGCCTCCTTTTTTGTAGTGCATGCAGACCTCCCTTCTGACCAGTTAAACAACGACATCACATTTCACACACCCTGTGTGTTTGGTTTTTCTTCCTGCTTCTCCCTCCACCCTCTTACGCCCAGATTTTTATTGCCAAGATTCTTTTACTATGCAATAAAGTGCACATTTGGACTGTGTCCACTTTATTTTCTGTACAACACAAAGGGATCAATAAGTGAGGTCAAAAGTCACCCAATTTGCATATCATTAGTACGAGAGGTCGGCCAGCAACTGTGTGCAACGTTAATGCGACCCGCTCCGGACAACCCATTTGGCCATGAACCAATGAGGGTGCAGTGACTAAGTCCTCTGGCTCTCCAGCTGCCACTTTATGGACATCCACGTTGCTAGTGTCGCCCTTCCTTTAAAGAAGATAGCCGCTATCACACCGGAAGCCTAGCAACTGGAGGTTGCGTGTCACCTCATCCTGTGCATGTACGGACGCATTTTTTTAATGACTTAGCAACTGGCAGGTTTAAACTTGTCTAGACTGTCAGGCTTTCCAAGAATAAAAGAGGAAGTAAATTCTGGGCGTGTGGAGTTGTCTTGCTTGTTGACACTTGGAGGTTTTCAGGATTGGATGACTCGCCTAGACCAGGCGGCTTCACCACTTCCCTATTGGAGTGGAGACCCCAAATATTTGCGAATGACTGTGTTCACCATTCCAAGTTTGCGCAGCTTCACATCTGGATGTCCTTTCCCACGCTGGCGGCGGATTGGATGTAAGTAACTGCCGGGATCATCGTGGCCGAGTTAGTTGCTGAGAACTCTAGCTTCTGCACTCATTCAAGTGTCTTGCCTTGTTGTAGTCTTTACAAGTATCGTCTGTTGTCCTGATTGACGATGGTCGGATTGGACTGGACTGGCCTCCAGGATGTGCATCAGCTATCCACCACCACGGTCCCCGTTTGACCTGAACACCTATTGTGCTCTAAAATCTCATGGAAATCCCAAAGTGTGAAAACCCCATTGAATCATATCTTTGTGGTGATCAAATACACCGGATAATGCGGAAGGGGCTTCAAACTGAGCCTATGGGGACCGACGGGGGATGTTTGCCCTATCGCCTTGCTGATCTCGTTCACCGTCACTGTTTGGCCACCTGTGCGTTTGTTTGGCCTATTTGAGGGGTTAAAATGATGCAATGCGGTGTGATCCTCACAGGTCACATCCTCTTTGGGAGTAATCATGACTCCGCCCACTCTATGTGTGTCATTCCAGACTGGACGAAAGCCTTTGCGGTGGTTAGCATTCCATAACTCCTCCGAATTCCAATTCCGCCTTGGGACTTCACTACCTACCTTGGGATCCCCCCGGTCCATTTGTCTGGATTGTCCTCAAACTTTTGGATCGCTGTGTGTCCAATTCATGCTTCCCTTGGAGGTGATCCAACCTCCTCGATTCAATTGTCGACCTCAATTGCTTTCCTACCATTCAGTCCCATCTCTTACCACGTTGCCACTACTGCCGCACTCAGGCTACCCATAAGGTGGACAAAATCGTCGAGGACTTCTGCAGCACAGTAAATAATCAAAATAAATGTCGTCGCGGATGGAATCTCTTCATGAAATGCCTTACTAAGCAGATTTTCTGTGACCAACGTCAGAAAAAAAGGATTCTCGTGAGTAGTGCAAATAAGGTCATCTTAAGGACAAAGTGATTTTTACAATTTTTCCCTCTTATTCTTCCTGTATACTCCAAAGTGTCTACTTTAAAAACTCCAAATAATTCCAAATTTACCGAAGTATTCAAAGCACTGTGTTATTTCTCAACTGGTCAGAATATACTACTGATAACAAAAAGGAGTAAGCTGTAGTCACTGTTTCTCTAGATGGTAGATTCAAAGAGCTTAACACCCTCTTCCTGTGTTCGCATTAGTTACGAAAACTAATAAACTGGAGTTGAGGTGTTGACATGCGGGTTATTTACAGGTCACAGGAGCGGTTACTAGGGCTCAATGTGGATTTGAGACTGCCTCAGCGTTATTATATTAGTCTAGTGTGGAGATTTATGGCTTCGTCAAGGCACTAAAAGCCAATATGGACACCTTGGCTACACGCCATCTGTTAGCACCTCGTAAATGAAGGCTAGACGTTATTTCCATCGTTGAAATGAAAACGGGAAGGTAGTTTCAAGATTTAATAAACTTGCAAATAGCTAATTACTATTTTTGCTTTCCCAGTTGCGAAATTTAATTAGCTTGCAATTCTAATCACTTGTAATTTTACATATTAATCAAGTTATAATTAATCAGAAATCATTATTTACAGCCAATCAGATAAAATCGATAAATCAAATTTAATGATTTTTAATTTCCTTGCGACTGGGATATAATTAATGCTTTAATTAGTGCGAAGTTTGAAAAAGAAATACACACCTATTTTAAATTATTAAATATTTTAGTGATTGAGAACATTTTGTGCTATCCTATTATCTGGGGCTAAATAAGTAACCAGTGGCCGGAAGTTGGGAGAAATGGGGGGAATTGCGCGTCATGCTAATGAGCTGTCGAGAGGATGCTAATCCCAAGGGGATGTGGGAATCGCTTGCCCTCTCTCCCTCCTAATTAGGCTAAATATTATTCTGTGGGGTTTTGTGCCATTGAGGAATAATTGATGAGAACTGGGGATCGGTACAAGTTATCACAAGTCTCTATCGTTCCGACACATGCGTGGTGGCTGGCAAAAAAAGCGCCTTGATAGACTAGATCTCGTCCAGATGGTCACAGCACTGAACACGGAAGGCGACCTTTGACTCCGTGAGTATGTACCAAAAATTGGAGCCGTTTTCTTTTTGCGTCGCAATATAAATGCACATTAGGCGCATGGAAAGATTGGACAGTGATCAGTACCCCCTCTCTCTGGGTATGTGTGTACATGACCCAAATAAATGTCCACGTGTGTTGCGAGTGGAACAATTGTGGGAATGCGTTGATATGTCCAAATTTTTTTTCTTCATAAAATCATTTCTCCATGTCAATGTCAATCAATTACGAGTTGATCGGCAGTATGTCAACACGTGGCATGCGCCCGGAACACGAGTAATCGATAAATGGAGTGCAACCATGTCCTCGGCTTTCGAGGTCATGCTTTTGATTACCACAAGCATCATCTGCGGGGGCGAGAGGGGGGGTGCACATGAGGTCAGGCCTGGGTATATAGATTAATTGATGAGTCGTGCACTTCCACTTTCGACAGTACCACCATCCAGCTCCAGTTCTTCCATCTCCGGGATCAAGACCAGCTTGTCTACTTCTGAGCACTCAAATTGGAAGAGCAAGGTCAGGAGGTCTATTCGGCTCTTAGGCATCCTGTTCAAAAACTGCTGCTGTCAGCTGGTTGAAGGACTTCAATGTGGGTGACTCCAGGCGCCGTGAATGCGCCTTCTAGTGATGATGGAATAGGTCACCACTATCGAGGTAGGTTAGCGTGTTTACACTCCTCCCTCCATCATTCACCAAGTTGTACAACATATGTGGCCTTAGACTCCCGCGTAGCGAAAATGGCGCATGAATAAACAGGTTTGTATATCGTCTCCGGGACCGGTGTCATCATGTGACTGAGCATGTGCAGTTGCTGCGCCCTATGTACGCATGTGTATAATGGCGTAGCGACTCTAGCGGTCCATTGTCCAACAAACGGGGTGACAAGACCGTCTAAAAGAAAAAAAAGCTCTCAAAGTTATCAACACTTTTAAAGATGGGATTGAAAGGAATATTTATAAGCTAAAAGGGAACTGAGTTAAAAAAACAGCCGAACCATTCAAGTGACGATGGGATTAAAGAAGGCCTTCCATTCAGCCCCTATTCCGGCCTCCATATCATTGTTTATCCACAGTGAAGCCACACCGCCCATGTTAGCCCCGGGGTGTTGAAGTAGAGACCGGAAATATGTGACCATGGCAACTAGGTCGCATTTCAGGTGACATCCTGACGATTAAAAAAGGGATCATTTGAAAGGCTGTTGCTATGGCAGCCGTAATGTAAGCACTTGGAGATGATTTGCGAGTGTGAAGGTCAGTAGCTTCGATTGAGTATTTTTTTTTACTAGAGAAAAAAAATACCTAAATTTTAACACAACATTTCTGGCCGTATAAAAATACTAAAATACTCTAGTGAATTAAAAATGATTAATTAAAATTTCAAGTTAGTAATAACAAATAAAGTTCTATTTAAACCAACCCTTCCTATTCACATAGTCCACAAATGGGAGCAATAACATAAGCCGAGAAAATGAGAAACTGCCTGAAAGGGAGGGTAGGCAAGAGGGACTGGCTGAAATCAAGGGCACTTGCCACGACCTCCTCTTCTCCGCCCTCGTCGCCGCAGCGAGCCCGCTTGCCACGTGTGCAGACACGGTAGCCAATCAGGGAGCAGGTGGAGGGGGCTTAGTCAGCACCGCATGCCGCGTATTTGCATCACGTGACATGTGCAAGTCCTCGTAGAGGCAGGAAAGAGGGACTCCACGCACTAATTTGAGTTCACTCTTCACATACGGTGAGAACAATTGACTAGGTGTAAGATTCTCTCAAAAAACGCCGAAGCATGCAATTTTTTGACGCATTTGAGGGGGACTTGTCGAGGGAATCCGCCTTTCGGTAGGAAAACGGCTTTGCTTATTTTTGATCGAGAAAAGCACAAATTGCCTTCAGTTGGAAGGTTAATTAATTGAGGCAAGTTCACTTTATGTCTTTAATAAGTACTAAGGACTCCAGGAGCTTTAGGGTTTTATTCAAAAGTTTCTACAGACAACGGGAGGAAGAACAGGGGAGGAAAGAGGGAGAGAGGGAGATTACGGAGTGGGTGGAGGAGAGTGAAAGTGGGTAAGGGGCCTTGGGAAGGTGGGCGGGGAAGGGAAGAGGAAGAAGGAGTGAGCACAAACGAGACAGAGCTGCCAGAGTCCATAACGATGCCGGAGAAAGGGGAAGAAATGGGAAGGAGTGGACAGTTTTGGAGGGGAGAGGTGTGGGCGCTTACAATGCCGGATCTGCCTCGGAATCCTACGATTCGGTCCGGACTTAAAAGGAAGGGGGCAACGATAAAGATGGTTTACTCGGCTCCACAAGTCTTTACGCGGCCTCTCCCTCCTCTTCCTCCTCAAATTCTCCCTCTTCTTCAGCCGTGGCGTCCTGGTATTGTTGGTACTCGCTCACTAAATCGTTCATGTTGGACTCGGCCTCGGTGAACTCCATCTCATCCATGCCTTCGCCAGTGTACCAATGAAGGAAAGCCTTCCTTCGGAACATGGCAGTGAATTGTTCGCTTACTCGTTTGAAAAGCTCCTGGATGGCCGTGCTGTTGCCCAAGAAGGTCACCGACATCTTAAGACCACGTGGTGGAATGTCACAGACAGCGGTCTTGACATTGTTTGGAATCCACTCGACAAAGTAGCTCGAATTCTTGTTTTGGACGTTGAGCATTTGTTCGTCGACTTCCTTCATGGACATACGGCCACGGAACATGGCTGCAACAGTGAGGTAGCGACCGTGACGAGGGTCACAAGCAGCCATCATATTCTTCGCGTCGAACATCTGTTGGGTCAGCTCTGGTACGGTAAGAGCTCTATATTGCTGGCTGCCACGGCTGGTAAGTGGAGCAAAGCCAGGAATGAAGAAGTGTAGACGCGGGAATGGCACCATGTTGACAGCTAGTTTCCTCAAATCGGCATTCAATTGACCAGGGAATCGCAAGCATGTCGTCACGCCAGACATTGTCGCACTAACAAGATGGTTCAGATCGCCGTAAGTTGGTGTAGTCAGCTTCAAGGTACGGAAGCAGATATCGTATAAGGCTTCATTGTCGATGCAGTAAGTCTCATCCGTATTTTCCACTAATTGATGAACAGAGAGTGTCGCATTGTAGGGTTCAACAACAGTGTCAGAGACCTAAAATGTAGAGATATTAGAGAAAAATGAGGAGAAAAAAGTAGCGCATAATAGACCTTTAATATACCTTTGGTGATGGAACGATTGAGAAGGTACTCATAATTCTATCCGGATATTCCTCACGAATTTTGGAGATAAGGAGGGTTCCCATTCCAGAGCCCGTGCCGCCTCCAAGAGAGTGAGTCATTTGAAATCCCTGTAAACAATCACAAGACTCTGCTTCCTTGCGAACAATGTCTAGCACAGAGTCCACTAGCTCAGCTCCTTCGGTGTAGTGTCCCTTCGCCCAATTATTGCCCGCCCCACTTTGTCCAAACACGAAGTTGTCTGGGCGGAAGATTTGACCAAAGGGACCAGCCCGAACACTGTCCATTGTGCCGGGTTCCAGATCGACGAGTATGGCCCGAGGCACGTACTTACCACCAGTGGCTTCATTATAGTAGACATTAATGCGCTCTAGTTGGAGGTCCGAATCCCCATGATAAGTTCCTGTGGGATCAATTCCATGCTCATCCGAAATCACCTCCCAAAACTATAGGGTAGAAAATCAAAGTCAACTTAAAATGGCCTTTTATATAAAAAGGGGCTGAATTTAATTAACTTACTTTTGCTCCAATTTGGTTTCCACATTGACCAGCTTGAATGTGCACAATTTCACGCATTTTGAGAGATTATACGAACGCCGAGAAGATTGCCACCGGATGCGAGAGTGGGTTGCCGAATTGTAGGCGTTGCTAACCCAAACACGTTTGAAAGCGTCATCTCGTAGTGGCGATCGATAACTCGCCCAATCGATATTTCCTCAGGATGCGTCACACCAGCAAATGCGCTGAGGCGCGACGGGTCGAGGGGAATTAATAACTAAACCATAAAAAAAAGATAAAAACAGGAAAAAAATAAAATTTTTTGGTACATTCAAAGGTGAACAAGAAAGGGACGGCATCGTAAACTGCTAGCAAAAGCAACGTCAAGTAAATTAGAAGGTTTTTTAGCAATTGAAGGGCACGATCTGAGGCAGAGATAGGAAAAAAGATTTTAAGATAAATGCTAAATTAAAGTTGTGACCAGTGTGGAATATGAAAATATGCAGTTTACAGTGCTTTGAGCCGTGAAAGAGCTAAATTATATGCAATACTTAAATAGGTATTCTTTTTAAAAATATGTAACAGACAGGTCTCCCTGCAGCATAGTGGTTTACAACATTATTACCAGATAAAATATGTATAAAAAACGTATAGAATCAGGGATTTTATTAAAATGAGAGTAACAGTTGCATTATATCCGTGACACCAGGTAAAGTATTATGTAATACTTATGTTGTTTAAACGTTTTGTTTCAGGGAAAAGGCGGGCAGACAAATCGCACCTCTCGACCGTGGAGCCATCGACATCTTTCAACCCAAAGAAAGATCCCGTGTCCAAGTCTCCCTAAACTAGTATCTACCCTCCATTTACTTTAAACAAGAGACATATCAAAACCAAATCAGTCTGGGTGTTCCAAGGGTGTGAAGGCCAGGGAAGAGGCGATCAGCCAGTCTCCTCCTACTATTAGACAGTGGAATCTCAAGTGTTATTTAATCACCGTTTTTTTTGAAAGTTGGGTCTAGATTTCAGATTTGATTCTTTAAGAAGACAGTAAAACTCAGACTCAGGAGCTATAAATGAGTTACAACACAGAACTTAGCGATCATAAAACAAAGTAGTGGGTTTTATGAATTGAAAGTAAGAAAGATACAAAAATTAGTGCGTGCTTTAATGTGAACTCGAAATCCTGTAATAAAGCCTGGCATAATGAATCATGTAACACATGAGGGTTAAAATGCATTTAGCCCAATATACGTGGTGTACATTATAAGCCAAAAATTCAAAATGAAAGTTTTATTAATAGCAATTATGCTTAGGCAAGTCGTCCACCGTATCATTACTAAATTCAAATGGTTGTATGTAATTCGGTGGAAACTATCGAGTACTGGAAAGGCATAACATACTTAAATTAATTAAAACAACAAAGGTGCATGGTTAATAATTATAAGAGAACCATGCAAATTGTGTTTTGTTAAGGCAAATGCGAGGAAAAGTTATCTTGTCTTTATAATTAATCACAAACTCATTATTTCCTAGTTAAAAATGACAGACTAATTCATCTTTAGCAAACAAAATACATTAATAAATAAATACATAAAATTTCACCAAATATCTTTATATTTGTTTGCTTTCTCAGTCAGTCCACTATGAAGGTCACGGAATGTCATAATAGCTAAGAGTGGGGCTTAAATAATTTGATTTGGCATCTTTGACAAAACGTGCAATGTACGATCGTGCTGAAAGAAGCATAAATTTAACACCGAGGGAAGATTTGGGCCCTCATTTAGGGCCTACAAGTTATAACGTAAAATTTGAATTTAAAAAATGCACAGCTGGAGGTTATGCACCTTTTGGTTCTCTAGGACAAAGGAACACAATATTCACTTTAAAAAGAGACGAAATCCCATCTCCATCAGCTTACAGTCCTAAATCATCTTGTATACATATAAAGGTGAGTAAGTACCTTACCAGTTTTCGTCATACACCCTACGAATAATAGACCAACTTTTTATTTATAACAGAACATTGACCGTTACACTTGCATTATTATCCTCACAAAGTGCCAAACTTGACTCAATTATTAAATCTGTTATTTAGCTCTTTATAAAAGCCTAAGGATTAGTACATTTTTTGCATTTGTTATTGTTTAATTGGTGACACGAACTTGCGCATTATTTACAGGGAGGCTCTTCAATGAAAAACACCGAAGTTCGTTTTGGCATTTCTAAATCAGTGGTACCTGGGCCTAGTACATACAACGTCAGAGCTTACTGGCCAGGATCTGAGCATGATTCATGCGATCTTCTAATGCCCTATTTGTTGCATTCTGAAAAGCCTAAGGCAAATAAGAATAGTAGAAAGCATTTTGACAACTTCAGATTACAATTCGTTATGTGGAGCGCACATTTCCTTCCATAGTAGCAACATTAGATGCACATGGTTATGTGGCGGGGCCAGATGGACAGCTGAGACCCCAAAGCGGGCAAATCCGATTCTGCCGCAATGAAATGAATTCATCGAATCTTCAATCTTGTCAACGTTATCGAGGATGCAAATGGAGTTCCAGGGTATTTCACAAAATGATAAAATGCTAGAGTTTACTGTACACACTTCTGCTTAAATCCATCATACATTCCTAATTTACTTTGCTTTTTCAGACGGATTACAGGAAAACCTTTTGTCCATTAAACGACTATCCTGGACCAGGCACTTATTTTACTTCCATGAACGATGAATGGATTCGTCTCATAACTCGTGGTCTTCAGCAAAATCTAACAAACTCAAAACACGTTCTTAATGTCCCACGGTTCATTGAAAAACATGTTCGTGATGCAAAACATGAAGTGAGCTTCAAAAAGGACTTAGGTGACACTTTAATTGGAATCACTAAACATCTATGCAAGTGTGGACTGGTTTTATGATATAGGGTCATGCCTGATAAGATTCGACAACAAACAGTAGAGCTGTCTTTGAAACACAAACGACTTACAATTTTTGATAAATGCACAACTGTCTTGAACTTGCTACTTAGGACTGTAAGTAGCATGTTTCTTTGCTAGAATCTGCCTCCGCCAGGACTATATTTTGTTGATGAGAGCCAACCAAGGAAAATAAATCCCCACAGACCACCATTCGCAACAAGCGCTCCAGTGAGTATCCAAGATAAAAAGTCATACAAATCCAAATTCTTCCGTTTATTTGTTTATGTATTATTTTCATAATTAATTTTGCTAAGCACTGATAAAGGGGAATTTTGCCGAGCTTTGTAAACTACCGTCCACCTCCTCACCCTCCTCTCCATAATTTTAACACTTATAGGGCACTGCTTTTGTATAAATAAGGCATAAAAGGATTCTCTGAGCCTTAACACTGGAGGAAATATCGTGACTTGGATCTTTGCCTCCTATGATAATCATCAATCAAAACGCCAACACAACACATACGGGCATTCAAGAGCCCTGGAACGCCTTTAAAGATTGTTTTTTTAGCTTTCATGAATTGTTCATGCAGTTTTCCCTTGATCCCTTGTGGTAATGATGGTAGATGAAAGTCTGGTGCACTCTGCACCTACCACGTCTGCTTGGCTTCCCTCACAAAGCTTGTCTGATCCACCTTCTTGATTCAACTTGATGGTACACAGGAAGAAGACTGCAAAATCAGGAGAGCATCACTTTTTAGTCCCGCAAAAGATCTCATACTATGGAAATTATTTGTAGGTGCTACCTCATTCCCATTTCCCTTATTTATTATTTATTTTGCATAGGTTTAGAGTTCTTTTTCCACTTACCCCTTTCCGAGAAGAAGTGGTAGATAAAACGACTTTTACTGCATTCTTCTCTCCACCAGTAGCACCTCAAAATCCAAACTGTTTGGCCAATCAAATGACTAATGGAGAATTGGGATGTTAGTCAAGGAATTTGCGTTTGTGCTAAACCAACCCTTTTTCTGCCCTAAGGGCCATCACAGTTGGGCACGAAGCTTTTACAAATCTAATTCCTTTAAAAAGGAAAATACTTGCCAGCTGCAAGCGGAGGAGGTGAGGAAGGGGAAGGAGAAAGCATTTTTATTCGTAAAAAGAAAAACAATAATTCTATGAATTTTGCTTGCTTCGTTAAAAAATGAGAGAGTTTAATTCGTTTAGAAAATTTTATGCAACTCGACATTCCTTTAGTTCTCCCAATTAGAGAGAGAAAAGGATCCTTTTAGTAATTTCGTTGGTGGAATGGTCTGGCATTCCATCAGTCACTCATCATGACAGAGTATCTCTCATTTCTACACATATTCCAATCAGACTGTTTAGGACCTCTTTGAAAGCATGATAGACTAGATTAGTATGGATAAAGACCAACTCTTTACGTGGAGAGGGGTTGGAAGGCTATGGGGGTGGATAAAACGCCATGCCATTAAGATGGTGAGTGGAATCCGTACTAACTAGGGAGCCCGCGTCAGCCATTATACCATGCTCTGTCTCAAAAGGTCCATTTACGAGATGGAGTTAAGGGTTTTGGCTAAATTTTTCATCTGGAGGAGGAGATACTCGACCCGCAGAGCATCAACCAGACTTGAATAGCGTCAGTATACTAAGGTGAGGAAATTGTGAATGCATCAGGATCGACGAGGTCCATCCCTAGCGTGCCTTGACGAGAAGTTAAGCATGTGACCTTTGATCTCACCTAGTGGACGGGTGCTCTAGGCACAGAGTTTGCTTAGATAATTAGATTTTTTTGTCAACCATCATGATGTGCTCTGTATCTCAAAAAAGTCCATTAGGCGAGAGCAAAGGTTATTTATTGATTTTCCATTTAGATGGAAAGCATTTGATTCCAATGTTGTGGATACACCCTGACGATTTTCAACATCTTTCTGCTCGTGTACTAAGAAACTTTACTAACTTGTACGACTCAGGGATGGTAGGTGCTCTAGGGTTGAAGAGGGAGGGTGAGTGCTATCAACGTAGGTGCAGTTAGTAGATTTCTATGTCTCCTAATGTCTTCAAAGCTATCATGGAGGCTGCTCTAGTCGCGAAAAACTCCACATCAAGGTAAATTGTCACTGAAGAAGCACATCCTCAGCAAATAGGTGACTCCAAAGAGACGCATAATAGCAGAGGAGTCGAGATTGCAATGACCTGGACTACGGTTCCGGCATCTGGAATGCTTAAGACATTTGGATCCCGGAGTAGGAAGATGCTTGACAGCTCCGGATCCATTTGCGTTATTTAACAATGCATAGTCGTTATTAATTTTCCAGAGGCTCTTCATTGATAGAACTAATGTTTTTTACCATTTTAGAGATTTCCCCCTGGCGATTTAACAATTCCTGGACCAGGAACATACAACATCAACCGAGACAAGTATGACTCGTTGTGTACATTGAGGAACCAAAAAAGAATTCCTTTCTTATCTTCGGACACCAGAATGTCTAAAGAGAAAACCGAACCAACCCCTGGTAAGTCCTGAATCGAATAAAGTGACGGTACCTCTGGTCTCTGTCCGAATCCCTCGCTCGGTTGAAGTGGTCAGTGATAGCCCAATTTCTCACCTCATTAATGGTAATTTTTTGGTCTATCTAGATGCAGCTACTTTTCTTAACTAGTCCACTCTGGTAAAGACTTTTCAAGGCCTTGCCATACATTTGGAACCCCAACGGTGCAAACCGTTAGTTGAATGGACCCGATGCGATTTCGGACAAACCCACATCAAGTGGGACAGTCGTGATAGCTGACCACATGGCCCATGCTCATGTAAATTAACAGATGGTCATAAGTTCCAAAGGTCATCAGTTTGGTCCTTATCTCCCTCACGCACGTTATAAAAACACACAATTGTTAGTTTATTAAGCGAACGTTCCATGCATTGATCACTCAACTCTTCTAAGGCACTCAGCAGTCCACTTCCAGGGCACTATGCTTGCTCCTTGTGTGGCGGATCTCAGGCAAAAGCGTTCAACTGCTGGGACTCACAAGCAAGACTTAACAATTTGTCGGTCTCTGAGACGGCGGAAATGCTTTCAGTTACCCAATTCCGAAGGTGGTGCAACCCTTACGTGACAGCACTGATCCCCCTACCTCGTGCCACACTTTAGGATGAAAAGGGACGTAAAGGGGAGGGGAAGGGTGACACTACCTCATCCTCACCTTACTAAGCATCCTTCGCATTACTTTGGTCATATTTTTTCGAGATATTATCAAGCTATTCTATCCGAAAGGGAATTGACAATCGGAGCTTAAAAGAAGGATAAGAAAAGAAGGCAGCGAGGACTAGGTGATGTATCCTCTCAAAAAGTTACTGAATTGTAATGGTTGATTTGTTACACCGACTAAACAAAATTACACGAATTCATTTACTTGCGTTGAGGTTATTTGACAACCACTTTTAATTCATGCAGGTGGAAACCCAACTGCTTCAATATTTGCCGTTAAGCAAACCTAAAGTTTTCCAGTACTTTGTATGAAATTTTTGCAGTCATTTTGTAACTACCCTTTTGGTGCACTAGCTGATTTTTATCATTTAGGTAAAACACCCGATTTTATGATTTCTACGGCCGTTTGCATGTTTTTTTTTGGCGCAAAAAATATGGCTAGATTGCAATCTCAAATGACACTTTCATGCTCACTCAGAATTTTAAAAACCAGACTTTAAAAAATTCCTATAACAACGGCAAGTTTTGTAAAATGTTCTAAACAATTCTACTATATGTGTAGTTAATTTTAGTTGTTTTTCCATTACAGAGGTTTTTTCTAGTACTTAACATTTACATGCTCTACTGAATATCCTTATGAGTAGGCGAGGGTTGGGTTTGGTCTTCTCAACTCCTTACTTGGTTCTCTACCGTAGTTAATTTTGAAGGTACTACCTGAGTGCATTCAAACGCGTAATTTCTAATCCATTAGCGATGACATGACATACCTTTTAAGAGGGGCTGTTGGTAACCCATATAATGACCACCTTTCGGGGTCAGTCGTTAAGGCAAGAGAACAGAGTAAAAGGATTTCAAAATGTCGGTCTCTAAAAAACCTTAAGGCAGGTAAATGAACGTGTCCCTTCTTAGAAAGAAAAAGTAAGATGCGGCTGACTCAAAGGAACCATTTTAAAGATTCCACGTGCACTGTTTTGGAAAAAAAATTATGGAAATTTTTACGTGATGACAGCTTATACTATTATGTGTTTTTCTCCCTAAATCGTTTCATTCTTTTTAACCACTCAAATGCAGTTCGACAAGACGACCTTGTTACCCCTTTTAAAAATGAAAGGAAAAACGATTTACCCTTGAAACTTTGCTTATTTTTTGGTTTTAAATAACAAGAGAAGAAAGAGACAGAACAGATGATTCTGTAACATTTATTTTTTAAGTGACATAATGCAGGCAGCCATGACAAGTTGGCTCGTTTCGACATTTCTGCCTCGGATTTAAAAGGTTCACGTGCTTAGGAAACCATGGTAACCGAAAACTCAAGGTTTATATTGAAAAATGGAGGGAGAAAATGCACTTTTAATATGTGGCTTTGTGAAAGCATTAATATTAATAAAGAGAAAGATTCGTCTACTTGGCAAAGTAAAAAATTACCCTTTGGCTTAACTATCCATTCAATCTATACGAATGGGAGTTGTCCGTAGTGAATTACTGGGGTAGATTTTAACTTTACCTTGTGCACCCACACCGCAAAAGAATGAATCATAGAAAGTGGAAATTCCCACTGAAAAGAACAGGCACACTACTAAATTGGGGTTACTCATGCGCGATCCACTGAACAAACAAACGACCGACCGAGCACACAAACAAGCATGCAAACAAACTTGCCATCCACTTTTCGACATTTAAATTACTAATCGCATCTAACCAAGGTATAATTTATTGCCATGTCAGACTCATAGGGGTGTCACCAAGCTGCAAGGATTACAAGTCAGCAATCTTACCAAGTAGTAAGTGGCCAAAATCTAGGGGATGTTGCCTAGGTAACTAATTAGACTTTGTTTTTCCCGATTTAATCTTTTGATTTATGTCTATAAGGATGGTCTTTTGGAAGCGGGATTTGCATCAACGAGGCAAAAAATCAAATCACCATTCTATAAAGCGTTTTTGATTTTGAATGTGACCCTCTTTACGTGGGAGGGGTAAGGGTAGGGTCCGAGCTGTGACCAAGAAGTAGACATGCAAACTCCAGTAGGTGTATATGCTTTAGGAGCTGCATTTGGCTCCCGTCTTTGTTTAAAGATGCCAGGATGGCCCACTGAGGGAGAAGAGAAGATGGAGACGAGGATTTTTTTGAACACAGATTAGCGTCAGTTTTTCACTAAGTTGTGGCTGCTTTAGAGGTGGCCGTTTCGGTAGCAAGAGGATGCAGGTCAGTCTACCTGAGAATTGAATCTCATGATAGAAAGGGGCTGACTAATCATAAATCCCATGGGATAACAATTTAAAAGGCCTGCATAAGATGGCCAAGAGGCTATCACAGATGTAGCCATCAATTCATCAATTCATCCATCTATTCATTTATTCATCCATTCACCCCTCCATCCATCAATCTCTAATGCATCCATCCATCCTTCCATTCATTCATCCAATAACCATCCATTCATCCATCCCTCCACCCCGCATTTATCCGTCCATCTATATTCGGTGTAACACTTTCCGATTCTATTCTCCCTCCGTAATTTTAAAATTGCAGTTCTTCTACCTCTTCTCCATCTTTGGTTTGACCGATTTGACAAGTCACATGAAGCTCCAGAATGCAAATGATGCTAGTTCTTAAAGATCGCAACGCAGTTTTCCTTTTGGCGCCTAATTTATTACTAAAGTATTTCATCCTTTCCTTCTAGCTCTCCTTCATTCAATGCACAAGTTGGGTTAAAATCAGCTACTTCGTCTTGAATTCAATATTCTAAGAATAGAAGACTGCGTATTCCCAAGCTCTCACTTTAAGTCTTCCTTGCAGTTAAGGTGGCATCATTTGGTCAGAATTTGCTTCCGTTGTAGTAAACAAAGTTGCCAAAAGCATTCAGAATCATGAAAACTTTTAATGGTTGCACTTCTCAGTTCCCAAATTCTGGAAAAAATGGTTTTTGGAAGTCTGCCTACCTTAGTTTCAAACTATCTATTCATCTGTCAATGTGTGGGCAGATCTCAAGAGTATTCGGTGTAAAAAATTGGCAAAGATGAACCAGGGAACCGATTAATCTTTAGAGAGATATTGTCCTCCTAAACTGGTAGTAGTTAGAAGTTTGGAATGAGTGTCACATATACGTGTCGGGTGTTTTGTACCAGTTCGAGGTAAGTGATTGGACCAAAACTGGTTGCAAACAAATTAACCCAAGACAGTGAAATTCAGTTTTTCAATGAAAAAGTAATTTAATTCAGTATCCTAGAAATGAAGCAGTAGGGATCTTAGAATTTGGGTGAGGCGGCTGCAAATAGCTGCCGCTCCCACCCTTATCGTTACAATTCGAAAACAATTTATTATTATGCGTCAGCTAGACAGAGAGTCAATCAGTCGTCAAGCAATCTAACTGACATATGTGAAGGAAGTAAAGAACACTAACTTATTGGTCTCTAAAGCTTATTTTCATTTATATTCAATGCATGACATGTGACACCCTTGGATGTGGAAGCTTCCACAACTTTCCTAATTGCTATTGTCACGTCCATCCTCGAAATATGTTTTCCCAGTTCATGATCATTAAATAAAGAGGGCTTTCTTTAACCTAGTATTAACTACATTTAAAAAATTTTTCAGCATCTGATTTTGGGGAGCACACCCTTCTACCTCACCTTCTCCAAGCACCGTACCATCAAGTTCTGATGTGAAGCGCCTGTAGCTCTGAGAAGCGAATCGAACGAGCCGGAAAGATACTAGGTCCATTTAATTCACCTTCTTCGTGGATTTAAAGCGACAGAAAGCACCACAGATCACATTTAAGAACACCAAGGGATTGATGGATATCCATCCCTAATTTATAGCCCGTAAAGACGATGCCATTCATGCCATAAATTCCATTACATCGGGATAAAACGCAAACCTTTGTGCCCCTCCGGTAAAATTTAATGTATTTGGACCTAACTGTAAATCCAAACCCACAAGCTTGTCCAGTAGTACGCGCTTAATTAACCAGAGCACACGCCCTCCTGTCAGCCCACTCACACCCTTCCCACCCCGCACCACTCACCCAGCCATCCGTTTTATGTCCGCCTGCGTGTGTGTGGGGCTTGCTGTCCATGGCATGGCCCCACCTCAGTCGAAGGCGAGGTGGGCATAGAAAGTTCAGTTAAATCATTAGCCTTGTCAAAATTGTCGCCAGAAAAGCCATCAACTGTTTTCCTATCAGCTGCTGTTGCCACTCTCACTACCACCACTATTATTACACAGCGCCAAGGTATGACCGGTGGGTTCCTAAACACTCACCATCACTTATCTTAACACTTGCCTTCATTGGTCTTGGTATCTAGCGCTAGGAAATGTGAGCAGATCTTAGAGAGGATTTGCAATCTGGAAGGTCTTCTACAAATCTCCCAAAAAAACATCCACAACTTAACTGGGAAAAGACATGAGATTAGCTAAAAGCGTAATTTGTTTAACTACGCTCACTCAACTTGATTGCGAGATCATTTGGCCAGATCCTTATTCCGGAAAGTGATTAAATGTTATTAAGAGAGAAGGGAGAACGCACCTGCATTACTGTCCGAAAGGAGTAAGGGGGGAATGGGGTTTCCCAAGTTCTGTTTATTCACTAGCCCTGTCAAAATTGGCGCCAAGAATGCCATCAACTGGTTCCTCTCAGCTGTTTTTGTTGTTGTTGTTGCCGCTGCTACAACAGTCACAAGTTTGACCACTGAACATATTTGTGTTGGGTAGAATCGGCACCAGCGGTAGTTGTTTATTTCCCTCAAAGCGCCTCATTTGTCTCTCCAATATGGCCTTATTGGAGTATTTGTTGTTGCATCTGCATTTTTTCGCTCTGGAACTCGAAACATTGGTTAATAGGGCAAGGCTACTTTCTTTTCAAAAAGAGGCTTAAATTGAAGGTTTGAAGTCACTGCAGCCCGTCAATTCCTCGAAAAGTACCAGAAGGAGCTTGTGATTTTGACCCTAGAAGCTTCAGATCCTCATTTTCTTCCTTCATGGCCAATCTAGGGTCTTTTACTCTTGTAGAGACGAGAGCGAGGCTATAAAAAACTGCGTCCTTTATCAACCCTGTTTTCTTAGAGATGGTGCTCTTAAAATTTTCCTGTGTTTGATCATGCAAAATCAGTCAGGGTGTCGCCATCTCCTCGTTGAATAATACCACATAGAGTTAAGGTCTATCCAAGAAGTGGAAGGACTTTAAAACCTTCCCCTTCAGGGAGAAAATTCTCAGCTCATTCCTTTTTCTTGCTTTCCTGTAATTTGCCCCTTTAGTAGGTGGGGAAGAAAACAAGAAAATAAATCGCAACCAAATTCATCAATGCCAAAGGCCTCCTTGTTTTAAAGGTAAACTAAACCCCAAACCTTCACAATGCTAATGAAGTCAAGGTTCCAGCCAACCATGTGTGCAGGCTTTCGAGTCTCCCCTGCCATCCAATATCCAAGATCTGGTTCGTATAAGCTCTCTGGTGTGGGTGTGTGTGTGTGTCTTCGATTTATGGAGAAACAGAGGGAAGAACGGGAGAGAGGGGAAAAGGGAGTGAGGGCGACGAGCAAACACCGTGTGAGGGACCCCAACAGCTGTCGCAGTGTAGCTTGGCGCCAACCAAATCTACCCACCCGTTTCCCATTACCACCGCGCATTGCATTGCATCGCACCGACATTTGTGCGTAAATCACACGATAAGACAAGAAACACTGTGGCTTTGGTAGTGAAGGCTTATTGAATGGGCTTTCAATGAGTTTTAAGCCTCATCATTTGCCATTTATTCCTAAAAGTGTTACCTTTCTTCATCACTTGTAGGTTTCCACGTTTTTAAGCCTTGCAAATTTGACCGTGAAACAGTAGTATTCTAGAAGGGCCAGAAGACTTGCTTATGCTAGGGCTCTCACTAAAATATTAAATAACCAAAATCTGCTTGTTCTTATCCTGGGGATCTCGTATTTCTTAGTGGTAGAGGAGAGTCGGTATATCTGTAGCAAAATAATGTCATATGGATGTAATCATTGGATTTTGTGATATCCCCTCTCAATAGGATAGTGTTTCCTTGAAGATCCACAGGGTTGGAAGTAGAAATTGTACATGGCATCCATCCATTTTGCATCCATTAAGATCTTACTTGTAAATGTCTAAATCTCAACAGGTGAACTATTGTGTCTGAGATACACGACACCAAACTGAAACATAGGCCTTTGTCGACAAAACAGTATGTCTCGATAAGTTAGGAAACAACTGTCCCTTTCTTAATTATATTCTCCAATTTTCCATCCTATTTCTTGGTTGGTCTTATGATTGGGTAATGACAGGAACAGGTGCTACTTGCCACATTGAGCTCAAGGGAATATTCCCAAGAAAAAACAGGGGTTGAGGGAAGAGTCAGCACCTCCATTCATTCACAAATCCAACATTTTCTTTTGTAGGCCCCTTTGCCTACAAGATTCCGGGTATGACAGAGAAGATGTTGCTTCGGTTAAAGAGAAAGGAGGTGGGTTTAAAGGTGCCCTTTGATTCCTCAAGTGAACGTATCACCAAGACAGCAGCAAAGAGGTGTGAAGGACCGGGTCCCCACGACTATTATAACAAGCTGCAGCCTGAGTGCAGACGCGAGATTCCAGAAAAGATCTCCATTTCTCGTAGAAACTCAGATTCTCGTGCTCCAATTGAACGCGAGGTTCGGAATTCCCTAACATGGATAATTTGCTTGTTAAGAAATGGCCCTTAAAAGTTACCTCCCTCATTATGGTTCCAGAGGTCGATTTGGACCTAATCTGTAGGCACATGGAACTTAATCTTGCAAGATTTCGTCCGGTGTGGTGTATGCTTTTGTATCCCTTGGATCTTGAAATGAATCTGGACACCCACATGATGAGTATAGACGGCTCCTGGAGTCGATGAGTTTGAAGTAGCTCTTCTGTTATGTGTCCTTGTAGTCCAGTCATCTGAAAGGGTTGTCATCCTCCCGGTAGTAATCAATCGATCCATTCAGATGTAAATCTGTTTATTGCCTTTTTTACATTACAGAGATGTCCACCACCCACCACCTACGACGTGACAATGGCCTTCAAGGCGCTCAAAGATCACAGAAGTTTCCGTGCATCTAGACGCGACAAATCCAATGAGGCCTTTTTGTGCTCCAGTCCACGGTTCACCAAGTATACAGAAGGTGTGGCTGGTTTCATCGCTAATCCAGGTAGGGAATCGGTTTCAAAACCTCTCGGGTTTGCTAGGTTCACCGGCAAGAGATTGGGTTAAATAACATAGCCAGACACCAGCCGACAGCACATCAATAACTCCCTTTGAGTATATTAAGTCAGAAAAAAAAAAACTTTCCCGTTGGTGGCTAAGAATGAGGAATTGTCTACCTTAGGTGGAGATTTTACACCCCTCAGGTTAACCATCCCAATCGAGTCAACCCTACTCCTGGACAAACTGCAGGAGTATGGGGATGGCATGCGATTCTGACGTGCGGTTTTGTGTGATTGGCAATGCCATCTACTCCATCTCCGTGAGGAAGGTAAACAGTTCTTCCGTCTTCAAGTTGTTTCCCAGTGAGGATTCACAAAACAAAACAAGACGGGGAACAAAAAAGGGCAAATAGCTTGTGAATAATAGATGAAGCGTAATCAAGAGGTAGCATCCAGAAGTAGGCTTTCGATATAGAAGGTCTATTTTACCTATTTATAAAATAGGCAATAGAGGGGGGAAGCTAATTGCACGAGTTATGGCTGTTAAGGGGACTTGATAAATTTTCACGACGGTAACATGGCCCGATCTTCCCCTCTCCTTAGGTCCAGGTGCATACTGTGTGAAACGCGATCCTCAACCAAAATGCGGAACATTTAGACGGACCGAGGAACGATTCAGGGATGTGGATAATGGTCAACCTGGTCCAGCGGATTATAAGGTAAAAAACTGTTCTACCATGCAGGAGACAAAATTTTAGTAGTATATGATTTTACTCTGTGGAAAAGTTCACGTTATCAGGGTTATGAGGAAAGATTCTGCCTAACGAATCGTCAAATTCCTATTGTTAAACCGCCTTCAAAGACATATCTAAGTGGACCTTGTTGATGCTTTAGTCCTTTGTTGCATACGTCACCCTCATATTTTGCCAGGGTGGATAGTTTTCATCCAAGCAATCCGGTATAGAAGCAGGTTAACCGCTGTCGTGTTGAGGGGATGAAAGGTTGGAGGCTTGGTTGGAGACTATGCCACTGAGGTCGCGTAGTTATCCCAACATTGGAGCGTGATGTTAAGTCAGCCTCGTCCATCTTTTGATTATCCTTCGCGGTGCTACCTGAGGTTGCCCTTCCGTTTTGGGTGCAATGAAGACTTACTTCCAACTATCCCGTATCCATCCTGTAGCCATCCTCTGTCCCATGTACATCCATTTATCTCCTATCCATCTATCCATCCATTCCGTGTGGATAGACTTAATTTAGTGATGCAAGCAATTAGCATTTCATTTCCAACTTGCACTGCCTGTATAAGAAGACATTTGATTGCAACATCAGTGATCCCCCTCGTCGCTCCCATTCACTCCCTTTGGCGTCACATCTAACCTCTTAGCTCCTTTGGGAGAAACGCAGAATTCCCTGGCTTATTAATACTCCCGTCTAGACGATCCAACATAGTGGGTGTGCAATACACGGCAGTAACTCTCTTCACCTCCTTTCTGTCTATCTTCACTGCTGTATTGCCAACCCTGTAGGTGGCAGTACAGTTGCCAGACACGTCCATCAAGTATCGCCTAATCACGTTAACCACATATTTACGTCTGACGTGGTTCCGACCACCCTCCTCTGATGCCAATCTCTACAGATTGCGTGATTCGCGACAGAGAGCAGATAGTCTCCCCCTTCTATGCCACTGCCATCCCCACAGAGTGCTAGGTCGTCTTTGAAGGTTGTAATAAGCTCTACTGGTAAAAAAAATAGTCGACAGTATGCCAAGCATTACCTTCCATCCACTCTGTCAAAATGGAGGGATAAACTACGGCTGTTAAAGAACCCGCGTAGGTTAGCGTACAGTAAAACAAGCGCCAAATAACCGCAATAAATTAATGGCGAACATACTTACGCGTATGTCAAAAATGCGGTTACTGGCTACTTAAAATTTACCCCTTTTCTCTCCACGAATTGAATGTCAGATTTTTACCCACAGACCGTAGATTGGTTTATTAGCCACCTTTTCACTTCGAAGGTAGAGCCTAAATGCCAGGAATTGAAAGGAGAACGAGATAAAGTGAAAACTACACCCATTGCGCGCACAGCGACCCTGTTAATGGGCTTATTTTCTCCTTCATTAAATATGAAGGGTGTTAAAACTCTCTTTGGCTTTCCCTTTTTAACGTGCACATACTTTTATTCACTTCCTCTGGATATTTCTATTTATAGCTTAAGGAATATTGCAAGGGAGGGGATCATGAATCCACACACTCTGCCGTGTCTTCCTAGAAAGGATTTTCATTCACCTAAGGGTATTTGTCCTGAAGAGTAGAGAGGGGAGAATTTTTTGTGGCAATGTTTTCACCAACCCCACCCTCTCATCCATCCATCCGATAAATCAGTGAGGAGAAAAAGCATGACTTCTTACTGCGCTTTAAAATGGAAGGTGGGAGGTTATTTTACCCCATTCTCGTCCTTGTCTTTTGCAGCTCTATGACAAACACTTGACAACCACATAATCAAATGGGAAATGGGTTGAGGGGAATTAACTGGGGCTAAGCTTTCACTTAGCTTAGTGCAACTAAACCCACGAGTTTACCTTGCATCATGTGAGAGTAGAAGTTGTAAAAATGGTCAAAAATGACAACCATTTCCTTGTACAATACTGCCTTTCTTGCATATACTACTTTGGAGTTTGATTATTAGCACTTAGAACCTTTTCCTGATAGCATCTGTTTTCAATCGGTTCATTGATGTAGTACAGAGTCGTACACACTTTCTGGAAGCCACGTACCCCACTTAAGTCCGTTTTGCTCCACGGTTGTCGCCAGAACGACTGAGTTATAGTAATCTACCTGGGTCCAGAAGGGGATTAGTACCTGCTGGTCTGTGACCCCAGCTACCCCAAAATATAAAGGCAAGCCAAGTGTCTGGTTGGTATTACTTCTATCTCCATCCGTTAAACTAAGAAAGTTGTCAGAATTGCTCGGGTGAATTTCAAATTCTTTACGCAAGTTAAAATTTCCCACTTTTTATATGCTTCTTGATTTGCAGTCAATTTTTATCTTTGCATGAAACAAATGTTAACTCCCATTACATGGCTTGACAAGTAAAATGTTCTTCAATTACATCCTTTGTTTAGCAAGGAATAAGGAGGGGCAAGAATTAAATTGATGAGAGAAAGACAACTACTTTTCCTCATCCTCTCCCCTCTAGCGTCATCTAATCGCTTGAGCTTATTCTACCGCCATAGGAGTCTTCACACGAGAATGTTCAGCCCTTTTAAAGAAGGCAAAATTGGGAACTTGTAAGTCATTTTTGATGAAGCCTCTTTGGCGGGAGACATTGTCACAACCTCAATTTATCCCTCACTGCATCAAATAGGACGAAAGGATCTAAATCACCAGTACGTAGTCCAAGTCTGAATCAAGAATTCCTCAGCATGGGAAAATGGAATAAAGGACTTTCTGTAATATTTTACCTCCTAATGCCCATTAGAGGAATTGGCGGAAAGAAAGAAGTGTCTTCAATGCCCCACATAGCCCCATTCTCCGCTCTTCTTTGGCTCACAATTACTACCTTACCGACGGTCAGCTCTGGATTTTCCCAATTTATAAATGAGGCGATTAATCCACCATATTAGCATAAATGTGGGTAACAATAATAAATGAGTAATTTGGGGAAATTCAGTCAATCGTATGGATAAAGCATGCTATAACCACGAGTGGAATCAGTCAAAAGGTTACCTCTAACCCAGGGGTGTGTCAAGACAGGTGGCACACGGATTTAAATGCGAGAATTGCTTATCCCCACTGCACTCCAACTTTTAAGTCCTCAAGGAATTTTTGCTTCTTTTTACTCACTCAGAAAGACTCAGCTAATGTGACAGGCAGGTGTTGATTTGTCAAGAAATGTTCAACCAGGTTCTCACACCTATGCAAGTGTGGGTTTTGACAAGTTTATCTCTTTTAAGTTGTCACTTTGAAGTGAAGACAGTGCAAATACTTGAAAGTTAATCGTATCAAGTAGGAGTATTTGTTTTTGCCAAGCCTTTTGAGTATATGTGTCATCAATCGGGGCAGTGCGAGGTGGGGTGGACGGAGAGGCAGATCATTTTCCCCTCCTCCAGACCACTTCTTCCCCTTCACATGACAGTAGATTCGACTATGAGGGAAGAGAAAGAGAACAAATAAACAAATAAAAGAGAAAAAATCAATCTAAATAAAGCTTTAAAGGGCGGGAAATAAAAGTTGAAGCGATGCAGTGCAAATGCACTTCCATCGGGAACAGTCTACTGAAATGAACTTTTAAGTAGGCCCAAAATTTTAAAATGAATCATTATTTTATGCGGTACTAATACGTAAATATTTAAGGGGAAACAAAAGTCAGACAAGCAAGCCATTTTGGAGGAGAGGAAAAGGGAAAAAAATCAGGATTCTCATTAACGTAAACAAAGCTGTGTTTTGTTTTGGTCAAAAAACTAATTTAGCGTGGGACAAGGAGGTGTCCTAGAAAGTTAGCTTCATAGCGATTCCCATGGAGCCCTCATTAATTTTTCACTTTAAATGAATAGAGAAAGGCGTGATTAGCATTTGTTAATTGATTTGAACATACCCATCATTAGGGGTGGGGTGGAAGGCGGCGTGCGGGCTTCGCCTGCAGCAGTCATTAATCATAGGCCTTAAAAGAGGGAATAAGAAACGAAAAAGAGGGATGAACGCAGTATCCTTAACTCCATTGTAACCCTTTATACCTTCGTTGTGGTCTTCTTCTCTCCCGCTTTTTTGAATCTTCTCGGTTCTGATGCATATCTACAATTACTGAGGCGGAATTCGGAAGAAGGTGAGAATGTGGCATTAAGAATTTTTCCCCACATGAAACAAACGATTGGTAGCGTAGAAGAATAAAAGAAGAAAGTAGACGCCAAGGCTTGATTTAAAACTTTTCTAAAAATTAAAAGGAGTTTTTTAATTTTTTTTTGTGAAAATGAAAGACTCCACACCTCTTCTCCCCAACCAAAAAGGCCATTCTGATTAAGGAGAGGCAAGACTTACTGCCTTTATAATTTTGCTGTATAATAAGTCTTAATTCCTTTTATTGCATTAAATTTCGAAGTGTAGAAGTTTTTATCCCTTTTCTGCATCCATTTTTATTCGAAGCTGGATCCGGCTGTTGGAAGTAGTGTCTACATCCGAACCTTCAATGTGACGCTGAGGAGGCGCACCACGTCTGCACCAGCTCACGTGAAACACTGAGGAAACCGTAAGTCTTCACAACACATTTTGGGCGCTTTTTCTTCCAAGTTTTGTCTTTAAAGCTCCCTTGACGGTAAAAAGTGTTAGAATCGGGTCACCCCTAAAGCCTGACCATAAGTCCTTCGATTGAGGCTTTATTGTAAAAGCTGAGCAATTTTGTGTGCGTCCTGACTCTTGCTCTGTATTTTGTGACGTTTAAAAAGAGCAAAAAACAAATTTATAAAAGTTCTAAAAACGCCACATCCATTTGTGACATTCATGTCTGGCGGTTGCCTTGGCACCCATCTGGTGGACACCTGTTGAACGTACGGTCATCAAAAGCTAGGATGTAAATCTACCGTATATTTACGCCCTTTTTTCTACCTTATATTCAAAAATTAGTCCTTCATTTTTAAAAAAGAGAATTAAAATTTTTCCATTCCTTATGTTTATGGCTGTAGACAACTGGGTGTCCGCGATGCTCTGTATTTCTTACTTCGATCTACCCATAGTTGACACCAGGAGAAAAAATAGACTATATAAATATAATATAAAATATAATAATAGAACAAAGGTAACAAAGGTAACAAAGTTACCTTTTTGGATAAAGTTAGCTAATACATTTTAGCTCCAAATGCATCAATCCCAAACCGATCGCTTATTAAATATAAGCAGTACATAATCAACGTTGATAAGTACTATTGATATTCTCTCATCCTCCTCGTCTATTATCGCTCGTAACAAAGTAAAAAAAAGACATATTTTGAAAATTTTTGATTAAAAGGATTGCTTTTCTTGTTTTAGACAAAAAAATTTAAAAAGAAGCAAATGAGAAATAAGAAACCCACGAGTTTCAAAGAACAGAGGGAGAATGTCTTCTCCAACCCTTTAAAAAGAGAGAAAAATATGAAAAAAAAGTTGTAACTTTAGGTACATTTTTTGTATAGTTAGGAAAAAGCAGATGTGGGTGTCATTGTGGAGAAATTGAGGGACTACTTGGCATCAATTGACCAAATTTGGATGCCTTCCCACCTGGAAGGTGTTAGAAACGCGCCAGAGGCGTTACAGCTTTTGCGCATTCTTTCACCAACTTTCCCCTGTCTTGTCTAAAAACTGTCGGGAAAAAAGGCAAGGTAAAGGCAAAGGAACTCAACACCGCGTTATTTGGAAACTTTTCTTCACCCTATAGTGTGTGCTTTCATTCATTTGGGAAAAAACGAGAAATTTGGGGCGGAGGAAATGAAAACGATAAGATTGGCATAAATTTCCATGGGGCAAAAAGTAAATGCCAGATTATTGCAAAATGTGGATACGCTAGAAACGGCAAATCATGAATTCAGGGTTTGCGATTCTCTCGCGATAGGGAAAGTGGCCGTTTAGGCAACTGCAGAAGTGGATAAGGCCGCATCTTGATAAGGGGAAATCTTCCCCCCAAAGTTCTGCATTTCGAGAGGGGAGAGAGTTAAGGAGAAGAGTTGTAGAGAAGGGATAACAGTCACTAC